TGGCCGGCGGCACCGGGGACACGGCTGGCTGTCCCTCCCCACGAGCGGTGGCCACGGTGGCCACGGGCGGACGCGGCCGCGGGGAGGAGGGAGGAGGACACAGCATCGCGGAGCCTCCCGGGGGCTCTGAGCCGATGTGGGGAGGGGGCGCAGGGGTTTCAGTGCCTAAATTTGGCCTCGCCGCCCTTTTCCGGCCTGGGAGCGGCTGGGATGGGGGGGTTGACCGCGGATGAGGCTGTTTTTTTGTGTGGCACACGTGGCTGGGGTTCTGCCTGCCCGTTGTGTCCCCCGGTGGCTCCCACCACTCGCGGTGACAGCAAATCAGCCCTGGGAGCTTCTCCCGGAGCTGGGAGCTTCTCCCGGAGCTGGCAAAGCCTCGCCGAGCAGCTGGGGCTGACCCTGCCTCAGTTTCCCGAAATAGGGTTTGCACATGACTGCCCGAGGAGGGCGAGGATTCGTTACAGGGGGGTGGGATTGCTCCCGGCTCCGGACGARGTGTCGGTCACTCCTTCCCCGTCCAGACCTGTGTCCTGTTCCCCCYGGGATTTGTTTGTTTTGATTCCTCCCTCTTTCTTTGCAGCCGCGCTTGTTCTCGCCTGCGCCTCCACAAGGGGCCCTTTCCCCGCGTCCGTGACCGATTCCCTCTTTTCTTTCCTTTTTTTTTTTTTCCGTGCGAAGGGGCGGGACCGAGCGGCCCGGGCAGCGCGGGCAGGCTTTTCCCTCGGTGTTGCTTTGGGATCCGCTATTTTTCTCCCTGTGAACCACTGGGAGAGGGACACGGGGAGGGAATTGCACAAACACGTCCTGCAGAACACACCCTGTCACCCACTGAACCCGGCCTTGCTGCAATTCCTCCTGCTGACCCTTCCATTAATCTCCACGGCCGGGGCAGTGTTGTCCACTGACGTGTTATGACCCCAAAATCCATCCCTTTTGGAAAAAAATCCTTCAGCGAGCGTAGCAAGCAGCAAATATATTCAATATTTGATTTATTTTAATCACTTTTCCCTAGGAAAGAGCAGGCAAAGCCCAATCCTGGAAGACCAGGGTGGTTTTGCAGCGGGTTTTTTCGCTCTGTGATGCTCACCCGAGCATCTGCCCTGCTCTCCTTTGCATCACCGCGTCTCAGGTGTCTCCCTCATTAAATATCCGGGTGTTGGATCCTTTTCCACCGCAGGTATCTCTTGTGCATTCTTCCAGGCTGAATCAGGCTCCGTTTCCTCTCGCTGGGTGAAAGGCTCCGTAAATCCTGCCCGCTTGGCTCCGTTGTCATGATGGATTATGTCAGCTCTCAAGTTGGCAGCCAGCATGTTTGAAATACCTTGTGCTCCTCAGCCAGACAGATTTTTTTTTTCTTTTTTTTTTGCACATCCCCCCCCTCTCAAAAGCACGACATTTAAAAAGCCCCCATGCATTCCCATTCTTGAAGGGAAAGCAGTGGGTTTTAATGCTGAAAAATTTTGGAGTTTTGGTGTTTTTAAGTAACCAACCCCTCCTTTACCCCATKTCTGGCTCTTGTTTAATCCCACTGAGTGTGGGTTTGGAGATATCCTCGCGACCCCCGTGGGTTTATCAGTGCAGTGCCCTGTCTGATGTCTCCCATGAACGTTTGGGAGCCACTTCCCAACTTTATTCCAGGAGCTGGTGGGTGACATCCTCCCAAGGATGACGAAAGGCCACGCTGGGAGGCTTTGGTGGCATGGAGAGTGCCAAGCCAGGGTTGGGATTAGGGACGATCCCTGAGCAGGTTCCTGGTTTTTGGGGCTGGGGCTGAGCTCTGGCTGCAGCCTGAGGCGGGAGGAGGCGCACGGGGATGGAGATTGATGGAGGAAAAATCCAGGGGGAGYGGCAGCTCCTGGCTGGACGCGTTGGGAGCCGCTGGGGACAGGCAGGCGGCCAGGACGGAGGCAGACGGGAAGGGAATTGTCTGTGCAGGGTGTTGTGGTGCTGCTGGGGCTTTTCTGGCACCCAGAGCCTGTGGGARCCACCCCTGTGGTGATGGAAAGCGCCTGGGGATGCTGAGGTCCAGCGGGGTGGGGAGTGAGAGTTTTTCTTTCTGATTCCTCTGGTTTTGGAGCACTGTGGGGCCAGGATGGGTTTCCCTGTTCCCTCTCTGGATTCAACAGCAGAGGGAAAACCCCAAAACCCACCTTTCCCATCTCCACCTTCTCTTTGAGCCTCTGTGGGGGATTTGTGCCACAGCACCCTGGTTCCTTTGGGATCCCCATTTGAGCTCTGATGAGCTGTGTTGGGAGGGAATTCAATCACGCGTGGTCCTGCCCGGTGTCACTGTGTCACCGCCACCTCTGCTCCGTGAGGCTCAGCTCTGCTCCTGAGGCTCTGCAATCCCTTTTCCTGCCGTTGCCTTGGCTTTGGACACATTTTAATTTGTTTTTTCCCCCTTTTCCTTCCCTCTGCTGGCTGTCCCTGCCTGGTGACAGGGTGGTTTTTGGGGCCAGCAACTTTCTGCTCGAGCAGGGAGGGGACGAACATGGGGGGGATTGCAACGAGTTATTCGTCAGGGTGACTCTGGAAAAGATTAGCTGGGCAGAGATAAGCTGGCAGTGCCTTAATATTGTTAGTAAGCAGTAACYGGCATTATTATTAGCTCAGCCGATAGCGCGGGTCCGCGCTGGGGAAGCTGCGATCTGCTCAGAGCTCGGCAATCACCCCGGGCAAAAAAATCGCAGGAAAACCCCCAATTTTTGCGGGATATGGGAAGAGGGAGCTCTCCGAGGAAGCTCTGCCCTGCGTTGGGGATGATGCAGCGCTGGAGGTGGCCGGCTGCCGGCTGTCCGTGTGGGACCCGGTGACATCGCCGTGTCCCCGCCTGCTCCGTGCCATGCTCTCGGGGACGTTCTCCCACTTTGCCGAGGCTGCAGCCCGGCTCCTGCCGCCCTCCCGGCCGGGGCTGCGGGGGGATTATATTTAGAAGAAGAGGAAGAGAGGCGGCGATAAGGCGGCCCCCGTTATCTGCGCGCGTTCCGAGCGGGGCCGCGCACGCCGGGCCATGCTTTGGGCAGCGAGAACAGCCCGGCATTGTCCCCTCTGTCCCYGGTGCAATTAACTGGAAAACAAGGCGAGGAAAAAAAAACAAGCCAAGAGCCTTCCAGCAGGCAGTGCCCGGCTCTGCGGGACCAACCCGTGCCCGCATCMCCATCCCGCCGGGATTCGGGGCTGCGGGAGCCGCGCYGYGCTCGSCATCGCTYCGTCCCCACGTGTCGGACGTGGAGCAGCGGCTCTGCTCTTTTCTGCCGTGAATTTTTTCGAGCTGTTTTGCCGGGACGGTGAGGATTTGGCCGGAGGAGCTGGGAACGGGCATCATCGTGGTGATGTGGCGGAGGAGGAACGGCTCGCGTTGAGGCACATGGGTTAGGAAGTAACTCAGTGGGAGGAGCTGCGGTGAGAATCATCCGTCCACACCCGCCGGGGTGGAGGTGGGCGAGAGGGAAGTGGTGGCCACAAGACCCTTCCCCAGGAGCTGCGGTTCAGCCRGGATTCAGAGCTCCCCATCCCGGTGCGGGGAGATGGAGAGGCGGCGTCTGTCCGGGGAGAAGAGGCGGCTCAGCGCCTGCCTGGTGTGCCGGATGTGCTGCATCGGTCAGTACCCCCTTGCCCCGCCCGGTGTGGGCTTTATCCATCCTCCATCAACTCCCAGAGTTGGGAAGGGACCCAAATGTTTTTTTTCCCGGTGAAGGAAAATCCCAAAAAACACGTGGGAGCGACCCAGGCCGGTGGTGCTGGGGGTGGCTGTGTGGTTTCTGGGGAGCCGTGCCCAGGCTGGAGCCTGGCAGGGAGGGAAGAAAGGGGGATTTGGCTCATGAAAAGGGGCATTTTTTGGCATCTGGTGGGGCACAGTGGGGCACGGGGATGTGACGTGTCACCCTGTGCTACGTGTCGCATGGGGAAGCCACGAGGTGCTTGAGGAAGAGGAAGGGTGTGGGGTGGTGATTTCCAGGCTCTGTGGAGACCTCGGGAGGTTTTCCCGACCCCCAGGAGGGGCTTGGGGGCTGTCCTTGCAGGAGTTTGGCCCTGGGCATGCTGTTTTTCTCCCATTATTTTTGATTTAAGATCAAAGGGTGCTGCTGCCTGGTGGACCCTGATGTCAGAAATGTGTTTTGGGTGATATTTCCTTTCCCGAAATATCCCGGGGATGCTCTGGGGTGGACACATTGGTTGTGGCTGTGTGCTGTGGGTCGGTGCTGAGGATCTCTCTGTTGTCAAATTTGATGTTCTTAAATCCTGGTGGACTGCTGGGGCTGCTGAGTGGGATCCCCTGTGCTCTGTGGTGTTTTTCCATGTTTTTCCATGTGATTTTTTTTTTTTTTATGGAGCAAAGAGCTCCCCCATTGCTGTTTGGTGTCCCCCATCCTGTCCCCCTGACACCCCATGAGGACTGAGACCCCCTGGGCATGGCAGCCACGCTGTCACCGTGTCCCAGCAGCTTTCAGAGCTCCCAGAGCCCAGCCAGACCTGAGCCACGGGACAGAAATAAACATTAAATCCTGGCAATCCAATGAACCAAAAATACGGCGGGCGGAATAAGCTGCTAATTGCGCTGCCCTGGCAGAGCCTGGCCAGGCCTGTTACGGGACATCTGGGGGTTTATGTAACACCCTAAAGCCTTCCAGGAGTGGGCTGGGGAGGGGGACATCCTCTAAAAATTGGGAAAACCCTTCAGGGGGATATGGGAGGCGCAGAGCGGACGCATTTTTAGGGTTTGGTTGTGCTTATCTCAATCCTCCTCACCGCTTTCGTGAAATATCACTGTTCTTACCTGAAAAAATCCGTGAATTCTGTCCTGACCCTCATTTCCCTGCTTGAGGGGGCTTTTGGGGCTGCGTCAACGGCCCCATCCCGCCCCGTTCCCTGAATAAACGCCCTCTGTTCGTGCTGGCACCGGCGGCGATCCCGCTGTCTCTTCCCGTCATTTCAAAAACCCGTTGGAGTTTCTGCATGGGAGCCACTGACCAAGGGCTGCCTTTGTCTCCTTTTGACAGATGAACGGGACAGAGTCCAAAAGAAAACCTTCACTAAATGGGTCAACAAACACTTGATGAAGGTAAGAGTCACGAATTGTGTTATAAAGCCAAAAAAAAACGACCGTCGCTCTGCGTGTTGTGGTGGATAAACGCCTTTTGGAGGTTTTTTAGGATTTTTTTTTAATGCCTGGGGCTGTTTGAGGGTTGTCAGAGCAGAGCAGGATGTGCTGGAGCCTTTGGAGGGCACTGCAGCATCACCACATTGCCTTTTCCTTACTTTTCCTTCCTGGGCACCTGGTCCTTGCTTCACATAAATCCTCCCACATTCCAGGGGGAAAAAGGGGATCCTCACCCACCCTCAAACCCCATTTTTGCCAGAAAAAGGGGCTTTTTGGTCCTTTTGAAGGATGTTCCTGGGTGGAGAAAAGATCCAAAATTTACTGAGCAGGTTTAATGTGGCACCATGAGGCACCTCCCMATTTCTTGCTTAGTTCTGGGTGGGTTTTAATTAATTCTCCATTTTTTTTTTAAAAAAAAAGAGGAAAAAAGTGTTTCTAGCACTGTCCCAGCTGTGTTTTCCCACCAGCTTTGCAGAGCTCTGTTCCAAGCTTTTGGCTGCTTCCTAAATCTTACAGAGGAGTGAAAAAACAGAGAAAAATCTCGAGGCTGCTGTGGGGAAAACATCCAGGGGAGATTCCCAAGTGTGCAAAACCCCCACGATAAAATCCCACAGGATTACCTGGAGTAGGAACGGTGTCCCAGCTGGGTTTTGTGTCTGCCAGGTGCTTTGGGAAGGGGGAGGCTGCTTTTCCTGGTGCTGATTTTGGGATTTCTGACATTTTTTCCCCTCCTCAGGTGCGCAAGCACATCAATGACCTCTACGAGGATTTGAGAGATGGCCACAACCTCATCTCCCTCCTGGAAGTGCTGTCCGGGGTGAAGTTGGTGAGTGCCCAGGGTTTGGCAGGGATTCCTAAACCCTCTCCATCCTCTCCTTTTTCCCTTTTCCTCCCAGCCATCAGCTGTCATTTCTCACTCCATGGTTCTGGTTTTCAATGTCTGTCACTGTTTCTTTTAATAATACTATTATTATTATTATTATTATTATTATTATTATTATTATTATTATTATTATTATATTTTTAATAATACATTAACAAAATATCAATATATATAAATTAACAATATATATATTATATATATTATTAATATAATATATTATAATATATATAATATATATACCAATATATATATAAACAAAATATCAATGCATTAACATCAATATCAATAATATATTAATAATATATTAATAATATATTAATAATATAGTAATAATAATATTCTTGATAACATTATTTATTCTTATATTTATTATTAATTTATTTTGATTTTCCTTTAATTGCTATTTCATTATTTATTATTTTATTTATTTAATTTTATTTATTATTTTATTTATTTAATTTTATCTATTATTTATTTAATTTTATTTATTATTTATTTAATTTTATTTAACTTTATTTTCACTCAAACCCCTGCCCCCAGGCCGTTCTTTCAGACTCCACCCAACCACCCAACTGTGGTGCCTCGATCAGATCCCTCTTTTTCCCAAACCTCACCCACCTCCACCTTCCAGCTGTGACCCCCACATTTAAAAATCCCAAAAAAACAACAGGATTTGGTTAAAAACTGCTCCTGTGGCAGCGTGCCCAGAATTTCATCTCAGATGTGACACTCGGATGTGCTCAGCTCCTKTTGGAGCATCACAGAATTCCCCCTCCTTCCTCCTCCTCCTCCTCCTCCCTCTCTGGCTGACACATTCCCATAGAAGATCCCGACTGTTTTAATGCAGCAGGAAAAATTCTTGGGGCTTCCCCCAAAAATAGGATCTGGGCAAAGATCTCCTCCGTACCCTCGCGGAGACGCCAAATCGCTTTTTGCGGGGGTTGAAAATTTGGAATGTTGATGCTCACGATCAGACAGCTCTGAAAT